TGTAAATTAGTGTCTTGCAGACCAAAATACCAAAACCCCGAGTGAGAACTTCATGATCAAGCGCTTATCAATTTAAAACGAGATGCAGTGTTGGGAGCTAAATATGACGAGATGGAACAATTCACAACCATTTAGGCAGCATGGGCAGTGTACTGCTATGCTCAAGAGTTCCAGACCATGGTATCCACATGATAATATCTTTCTGGTCATTGGTGAAGAAAAAAAGGGTCCATCCCCTCTTCTCCCTTTTTTTTCGCTTTACTTTTCCCATAGTTCCTACCCATTTTAATATGCTCTCCCATCCTTTGCTTCTCCCTTTACTGACACACCATATGTATATCACTGAATATCCCCCCCCTACCATAGCCTGCTGTTGTCACTTCATACTCCCCAGTTCTAACTCTAATTACGTAAAGACAACAATGCTGGCCTTCAAGCTAGTTACAAACTGAGTGAATTTCAGCCGATTCAGCAGGAATCGGTCCAAATTTGATCTGTTGGTGACCCTGCCTCAACAGAATTTAAATCATAAGATCGACAGGGGAAAGACAATTCCAGGCTTTTGGTGAGGTTAAAACACACTCACTGCATATTTGCAGGAAACCCATTACAGGAAAGACCGTGTGTCCAAACCCTTTAACAGAGATTTCCCAGTTTTGTGCCACTCCATGTCTCATATCAAGTCTAAAGGGGTCAGCATCTTAATGTCAAAATCTGTCCAGTGGCAGCTTGTGGATCAACAGGTGGATGACAAAGGGCGTTATATATTTCTGAAGGGGAAAATTGGCAATGTCCTCCTGGTCATGCTGGCCAATGTATATCTTCCCAATTCTGACCAGCTCCTCTTTTTCCAGACTATTATTCCTCTCTTTGCCTTTCTGGAAGGAGTCTTGCTCCAGGGAGGGGACCTCAACCCAGTCCTGGATCCCCTCATGGACGCTGCCAGCTTTACAATACAAGCGATTCTGGCGGCTCAGCTGCTGCCAGATCGCTTCTATGGGCCAGTAAAGTTCAAGGGGTGAAGGACTGCACTGGTTAGACAGGTGGTTCCCGTCTCTGGGCCATGTGGGCCTAGGCCTTCAGTATGTGACCGGATTCCAATTAGGGTAGGAGTCTCTGGTCAGTCATAGTGTCGGGAGTCCACAGGTTTTTTTTTATAGTATAAAGTGGTTTTGTAACCTATGCAGCATGCGCAAATTTGGGTTTATTTATCTAGCCAGTGCTTTACAATATGAATCAGTTTCTCCATTTCAACAATTTTGTTCAGTCTTGAAAACCAGTATTTCAAGTTAGGTGGTTTAGATAACCTATGCAAAAGTATGCACATCCTTGCTGCAATTTCCACATGCATGGTCAGATAATTCATGTCGTTTCCATTTGAGGGCTTGTTCACACCATCTCCAGGTCCAGATCTGGATGCGTTTTTCAGAAAACCCTAGGGTTCCACTCAACATTAGTTGAAAACAGCACAGGTAGATGATAGCGTTCTCCTTTCACTAGCTATAGTATTACAGGCCGTTTTTTTACTACGGCCGGCCCGGAGGCAGTTAAAATGCTGTTCGTTACATCCAACAACACCCTCAATATCACTGCATTCCAGTCATCATGACAAAACACCACAACCTATATATTATGACTGCATGCACCTTTATACATGGGTCACATTGCTAAACCATTCCAAAAAGCATACAGTGCATTTGAACTTCCTTATGGCCTATTTCAGAGTTAGATACTCATCTATCAAACACATCAGCATCACTTGTCACGCCCATCCTTAAAAAGGCCCATTTCCTTCCGTAAGCCTCAAAGCTACTTGTGAAAATCGTCTACAGCCACTTGATTTGCTTCCTTTCTTCCGACTACCCTTCTTGACCCTTTCCAATTCAATTTTACATACTACACAAGTCATACAGACAAGCAAGTTAAACTTCAAGTCTGTACTTGCAGGTCTCTGTAGATTTCCATTATAATTCAGTTTTGATGTCTTCTGGTCTAACATAATATTGTCTATACTATGCTCTACTAGCAGGTGTCAGACAAAATCACAGCATTTGCCACAGCGTTATGGCAATAGCGATTTACCTGCGTCTGTTAACAGATACGCTTTTTAGTGGAAATGTGTGTATAACACTAGTTTTCAGTCTGTAGTTCAACTTTCTATTTAAACCTTCTCTTGGCAAATACAGACATAGCCTTATACTGCAGAAAACATAAAAACAAACTGTTCAATTTAAAGCTCGGTACTTCAATAGCAAACATTGAGATGTTGGGATTGAAAAAACAAAATACAGGAGTGCAAAAACAGGTGACTCACTCCACGTGACAGCACTGGTGCTTGGGGGATTTGCCCAGGGCGGTCACATGGGGGCATTGAAACATAACTAAGCTCTGGATAAAAAAAACCAGACTAGAGGTAGATGCTGCTGAAGAAGCATACATTACAGATAGCCTGTTACTTTGCCCTCTAGGAGCCCATAAACCAGTCTTTATTGTGAAAAGAACCAGTCATTCTTTCTTGCTCCCGCATTCCAATATTGGCTCATCACTATGACACAGGGCCTAACTGACCAAAAAAGAAGATTGTGATGTGGTAATAAAACACTGAGATCCCAGGTGAAGTCTATATTGATCTGTAAGGACATCCTAGTACCACTATTTACACTCGCAGCATGCCTCAGTTTTGTAGTACGCAACAGACGATCATAAGAACAGAGAAAAGGGATCTATGTCCCATAATGTACTCTAAGAAAGAGGATTTTACAGAGTCAAAAAACCTGTTTTCTTTAGCATACACTACAGGCTACCCCCGCACTACAAGGGTTAAGTGCTCATCTAAGTATAGAAGAAAAAAAAGGCACACACACACCTCCGTCCTGCCTGCTAGACCAGTCAGTCCCGGCAGCCTCTTCTCCCCTGGGCTCCTGCAGTCTAAATACCACTGGCATCCCGACATCTAATACAAGTGCATTGACTTGCATTGCATGTGAGGATGGTGAGGGACATGCCAGAGTGGAGGGAAGATAGGTGAGCAGTCACAGCCAAAAACCTAAAGAACAGGTGAGTATCTTTTTTTTAATTATTATTTTAGACCCCTAACCAAAACAAGCACTCAACCCTTACAATGCACGGGTAGCCCTACTGCAAGGCTTAATTTAAAATATCCCTAGAGTTCTTTATGTCAGGAAATAGCCAGATCCACTATAGGAATTGTTCACTTCTTATGAAACCCCTCCCTAATAGGATATTGCTGAACAAAACACTTGGCAGGAGTAAAGATTTTTCTGGGCTAGGCCAATCACAATGCATGACAGGTTGTAACAGTAATTGCACTGGAAAGGTCTTAACTAGTTGGGGCCTCCAAAGAGAACCCAGGTTGGTGACTAGGTGCTTCTGATGCAGGTTGCTCCAGGTCAAAGCATGAGGGTAGTGCATCAACAAGGACAGAAATGGTATTACTGAGTTTTGGTGTAACAGACTGAGACTCATGTGCCAAAACATTAAAAACATACGAGGTATTCTCCCCATCAACCTCAGCTGACTGTGCAAGAGCAGCTGCAGCTATTGGGAAGTCAGAGATTCATGTTTGCATCCCCTGCATTGTGATGCAGCTAACATGGCTAAAAATCTTCCCCTAAACGCAAGACAGTGTAGCAGAGAATTCCTCTGGAGAATACTGAGAAGAAAGCAACCCCATAAGGGGTCAAGAAAAACTCTGAAGGGTGCTGGGACTCAGGCAGGGAACAGTTATCAGTGCCGTCTGTGCCAGGATCTTTCAAAAGGCACTCTGCAAACCGTCCCAGAACGGCGAAAGGCCACACCAGCATACCGGTGCCTAAGGAAAATAGTGCTACGCCTATACACCGATTCACAGTTACCCATAAGGGGGTCCCCAGTAAAAGCCTCCACCAGGCCCCCAATGAAAGGTGATAAGCTTACTGCAGCGGTGGTCTAAGGGCAGCCTGCGGTCCCCCCCACAAAAGCCTAAAGGATGTAGGAAGGGGCGGATAGGACAAGCCGCATCCCCATAGTCTTTGCCCTCTGGCATGAATACTTCATAGGGAGTCTGCAGAGACAGGCTTCCACCAGTGGGTGAAGATTGGCTCTGGTCCAGTAAAGCACCCTGTGGCTCACTCCCACATTACTTCGAGGGTGTCCAGGAGAGTGTATTTTGCAGAGGCCAGTGTATGAGGACACATTATAGGCTGGCCCCGCTTCTTCACAGCTGGGTCTGGATGCACTATCCAAGGCTATGGCGAGGTTCAGCCAAGCTAGAAGCTACAAAATGAGCTCCACTGGCTCTGCAGCAACTAAAGAAATCTTGCTAAAGAGAAAAAAAAACCTTGATAAAATCAAAAAAAGGTAAAAAAAATAAAAAATAAAAAAGGACATCCTTTCTTCTGGGACACTAGAAAAAACCTGAGACATGCCAGAAATGGGATGGGTCATACTGGGCTGCCCTTACAGATTTTGTTTGCCAGTGTCCAAACTCCTGAATCCAGTAACATAATACAAGGTTCCTAAATTACTGTCTTGTGTCCCGTAATGTACGATTAAAGAAGTATTTTTTCTCCCCCCCACCAGTTCATTTTTTCCCTTCACAACTTGCACATATTTGACGTACAATAGACCATTCTACAGGCATATCATTTAACAAACAATACCCAGTTATCGTATGTAAGAATCGTCACAGCCATAATTGCCATATATGCTAGGCCAGGTGGTGAAACTTTATCATGAACAATTTTAAATTACAAGGGAACACTATACCTGTACATGTTTTTGAATAGCAGTGTTCCTTCAATAATTGGCCTTTTGCTTATTTCGCTGAATACTGGTGTGCTGGTGACATTTCTACAAATTCAGTTTATTCACAGTGCCATCCGTGGTCACTGCAACCACCCACCTGTCTATCCAGTTACTTCTATCCAGTAAGGAGTAAAGCAAGATATCTGTTCATCACTATACCTGCACAGACTCGAATAATTGTTCTATAAACTTACCTTCATCTCCTTCTGGAGCAAATGAGGCAGTAATGATGTCAATATCAGCACAGTTCATCACAATCTGGTTGGTAGGATTTTTTACCTGATGAGGAAGAGAGACCATAAAATTCAATAATATAACATTATACATAGCACAGATAATACATTGCTGTGAGAACAAATTTAGATAATTTATTTGCTTACAAAAAACAGTGCTACATCATTAGTGCTATTAAAGGTTTTATGCATTTAAGTCATGTTAATATCAACCACTTAAAAATCAACCCTAGTCCCAGCTAAAGCTTTAAAAAAAATCACTACCTACACTTTGACAACAAGTCTGCAAGACAGAACATCACAAGTAAATTATTCATGCCGTGTTTAAAAGTTGAAGAGCTGAGGAGCAGAAATTGGACTAACCTGTTTGTCTGTTAGACACACCTTGATAAAGTCAATTAAACCCACCAATATGCACAAACACAACCTGCTATGTTCACACAATGTCCAGACCAGATCTGCAAACGCAGTGCATTTTTGCAGCATTCGCATTTTTGTTTTTTAGCTTAAAATTGGCTTTCAGATGTAGTCCAGAGCATTTGCCTGGATTTCTGGTGTGTTTACATGCGTTCCAGACCTAAAAAAAAAAAATTAGACTAGCAGTTTCTTTTTTTGCCCATCTGGACTGGGACAGACTGCACTGGTGTGAACAGAGCTCAGAAATACCATAGGGATACATTGGGATGTTCTTTTGGTCCAGGAACAAACTGTTATGGTCATGGCGTGAACAAGCATTGTGCCCTTCTTCACATTTGTCTCAGCTTGTATAATGAGTAGTGTGGGCAGCAAGCATCTACAAAGCTTTCCGCAACATATGTTGAAGCATTTAAAGCACCATTCATCTGCAGTAAGGGAAAGTCCAGGATCGATCTTAATGGAAGTGATGACTGACACTTTAGACAAGGTGCTAGCAAGCTTTAACACTACTTAAAAAGGAGAAGTATGGGGTACTTATTTTTCCCCATAGTTCTCCTAAGGGTCAGGGGAGGACGCAAACTAGCGTTCTCTCGTAACCCAAAGCTCATTACTGTCGAGATAAACCTAGCTGCGAGATTGCCAGCTGGCTCTGCCTATCTAGAGGCAGAGCCAGCTGTACACCCTCCCCCGGTCCGTTCCACCAGTCAGCGCTTGAGGATCGGAGCGGGGAGGGGGGAAATCCCTGCAGGGAGCCATGAGTGACAGTCACGGCTCTCTACAGGGACAGGATCGAGAAGTGAGCAAGCGACGGTATGTGTTTGCTCACTTCCCGATCTATTGAGCCGACGCGTGACAGTTTCATTGTCACACGTCAGCTCGAACTATGAGGTTGAGTGAAAGTCACTCACCTCATAGTTCTCCTTTCAAGAGTGTTAAAAGTGTGCTAAAACTTGCTAGCAGCAGGTTTAGGGTTAAAGTCGATAGGTACTGCTTTCCTGCGTTTGATGTGCTGTTGGAACTGACGTCAAACAATCCATTCGACTTTCATTGAGCAGTACAGAGGCTGTGTTTGAACTATTTGCATTGCACTGCTATTTAGACCTATAGGGAAGTGAAGCTACCACATGTGCACCTGACAGGAAAGGCAGTGGCTTACCTAAGGGGCTTCTGAATACAGTCTGCCAGGGCTCCGAAGAGGAGAAAACTGATCCAGATATCTAAAGGAGGCACTACAGTAGCATAAAACAGCATTAGGGAAACTTGCTTGAAGATTCTTCCAGAACAAAAACTCACATGAAAGCTAGTGAAAAAGAGTACTACTTTCAGAGCTGAGGGAAGACATCCATCACCTAAGGACACTAGCAAACAACTGAGGCAGGCTGGAAATGAGGGGTATGCACGGCTGTCCTACAGCTTTGATTGATTTGCCAAGTGTTTAAATCACCCAAAAGGTAGTTGCATGACCCAGTGGTCCAAGAATTCAAATTCCCTTTGTCCTGTGATGTACAATGAAGAAGCAGCTTTTATTCATCCATGTGAGATTATCACCAGGCTTACTGTTTCTTGCAGATTGAGGGTACATTTTTTTCAGAAAAAAGGACTAGGAATTTCCCCAATTTGGCCACAAAGGGTAAAGAAAAAAAAAAACTTGATTTATGCTTCCAAAGTCTACACAAAACAAACCCCAAAAGCATTGCCTGTAGATGGGCATTATAATGTACACACCTGTAATAACAGCGTTTTTACAAAAAGGATGATTGTTTTAGGCAACTTTAAATACAAACCATACTTATAGAACTGTTTGGGAAGATGGTAAGGATGGCAGCCTGTGTATAAATACATATTCATATTTTCAGACTCTTATTAGGATCCAGAGTCACCTGCAACCTACGTCTGTACTTGCACAATCAGTTACACCTCATTACAGCACATTTCTCAACTCCTACTCTGACATTTGCTATTCACTTTCGTAACTTTCGTAACTGTTCTACTACAGTTCTCCGACCCACCCCAATACCTTTGCTGACTCTTGTGCAACATGTGCATACTCTACCTAGCACATTTCTCAAATGTTCCTCAGTACTTACTCTCCAGCCTACTGACCAGTTTGGCTAAATTGCTCATTGCAATGTAACCGGTTATCCTCCTTCCCTCAAAATCTAGCAATGTCTACAGAGTTCTACATTCTTTTTAATAGAAGAGCCTGAAACCAATATCCTCTGCATAGTAGGATGCAAGATCAGGGTTAGAGACCTGATGTTGGCTTCTGTGATTGGCTGAAAAGTCAACCCAGTTAAGACCTGTAAAACAACAGACCCACTTTGGACAGTGTTTGATAGGAACTGGTATAGCTCTATCTAGGGCTGTAAATCAGAGGATCAGAAGGTGTGGATTTTGCCAAAAATAAACACTATATGCTGCCACCTGCATTTTAAATTGTACTGAGGCTAGGGCCCAAATCAGCTGTTTCCTACAAAAAAAAAATTCAAAATGAAGGGAATGTCTGGAGATAACACTTGATAGATCATTAATTTTATCATAAAGGCTTCTGTAACTCTTATAGGACCAGCAATAGGAGTATTAACTCAGAGATGCTCTTGGCAATAGGCATTTTAACTCAGAGATCCTTTGCCTTTAGGCGATGCTCTTCGGAAACCAAAAGCTGATAATTTCCTTGTTCAAACCCAAGAGCGGACTAGGGATAGGGGAACTGAGAAGCAAGGTCTCTAGCCAAAAATCGAGCAGTTAGAATTAGAATGGTCCTCTCTAAGCAAAATTTTTAAAGGACCTGTGGCAGCAGCCTGAATGGGAAAATGGGAATCCTAGGCTGATGTTCTAAGGATTAATTCGAGCATCTACGCCCTGCCAGGTCTCGAGTTGAGTGAGGGGAAAAAAGGTTTGATTTTGCATTAATCTTTGAGGCGAACAGGGGTATTTGGTAAACACCCCAAATATCTATAACCAGCCTTAAAGTACCTGGATAAAGAGGCCTCTCAGACTCTCTCAGCCATCAACGGCTGCAAGAAGCAGCCAGACAACAGTGGAAACCCTTTAATTGAGTTGCAGAAATAAACTATAATAGTTTTCTGCACCAACAAATGACTGCTTCTGCTGTGGACTGCAGCAACTGCCTGTTGATCTAAGCCACTGTTGGCATACTTGTGCAAACGAAACATTGTGGATTACCAGAAGACCTGAATACATTTGATCATGCAAAGAAAGCTTACATTTTTCTTCCTGGATATCCTAGTATAAAATCTCTTATACATTTAGAGTCTGGAAGCACTATCCTCCTTGTGAGACGACTCCAGCTGAGAATGCCACTTACAATTAAGTGACTGAATCAGGGCATCTCACCAAGATGAATCCCGTAGAGCAGGGATGTCCAAACTCCGGCCCTCCAGCTGTGATGAAACTACAAATCCCAGATAAAAAAGTTGTACCTTATATCATTAATTATACTTAAAACAATTATGTCACATTTCTCATTCAGGGCAATTAAAGCATCTCCTTAAAGCCCACCCCAAGCCGCCTTTACTCACCTTCTCCATGCTCCCCCACTCGCCATTACCCTGTAGTCCTAATCCTGTGTGCCTTCTTCAAATTAAGTCACCTTCTTACCGACTTACAGTTTTCAGGCCTGGCTACTGGCCGCTCACCCAGAGTACATAGGTGTCCCCCCCCCCCCCACCTGGAAGCGTTGGGTATTTTGCAACAATTCAGATGGAGGAACTATGCAGCAGGCAATTGAGGAGAAGGTCAGAATAAGCTATCAGAGACATAAGGATTACGTTAGTAGCACCACTGACATGTAAACAGACTCCCCTCTGCTATAGTAGCTGGTGGTTTGTGTACATTTTTCACACTACACTGTTAGCCTTCTTGTGGAAGTGAATATGGTGTTTGTACCATAATGTGCCCTCCCCCACCACTACCATGTGTCCTGAGCTCACTTGTTCCTTCTGGTTGCCCGGGACTATTGTAGCAGATGTCAGGATGGAGAATGACAGGAGACCAGCAAACATTTATTCTCTGTTCTTTCCTGTGAAGAATGAACACGTAAGACATCAGCTCTGATCACTTACACGTTCAGAACGGTCATTCCCTGGCCAGGAAAGAGTATAATCTGTGTTCGATTAGCTTCAGAAGAGTGCAGGGGGTGACATTAGGGGTCTAACAGAACGCATCACCTGCACTATGATATCACTTAAGAGGATCATCTGCCCCATTATGATAGCAACAAAGTTAGCTATGAAACTTTTTTTTTTTTTTATACAAAATTTGAGTTTAATCAAATGATTAAAAAAAACAAAAACTAAAAAGCCCCTCACACCCAAATACACGCATGTATACGAATGCAAATGTGAGCAATGCACCTGCCTGAATACCAAAGCCATCAGCGGAGATTCCTCCATTCACACGCTTTAATGTGGATAGAAAAAGCTATTGATTTTCTCTTGTTCAGCCACAGGCAGACAAGAGAAAATCTAGCCATGTATGGCTAGCTTTACATTCTCAGCTAAGCACAGGCTTGCAAAGTGCAACAAAATGTGCTTACTTTCTCAGCTAATGCCTCTATATTAATGCCTCTGTAACCGACACTACCAGGAGTTATGAAGTGCAGGTTGT